TCATCACTCACCAGAATGCACTGTGGTTAGAGGTTCCATTTTGTAAATGGGTCAATTTTCCCTTTTGTCCAAATGTCCAATTTTAATCAGTGCTCATAGCCTCATATTATTTCTTTATTTATTCATATTTTGGATTCAGTATATGTTGACATCAATTTCCCCAGTTGATTTATGAAGATTTTGATATCAAGTCTCTGCTTGTGGCATATGTTTATCAGTTTATGCTGCATTTGCAATCTAATTACTTCTAGCATTAATGTCAAATTTTGCATTATAGGGCAAAGAATATCTTGATTTCAATCCAAGTCTTTTTTTTTTGGGCATCTTGGAATTCACTATATTGGATAGATATGATTATCTGTATTTTTCTAGTTTTGTGCATATTATTGTTTGTTTATGTGGTTTATTTTGTTTATTAACTCATCGTGGGATGGTATATTTTATTAAAATATGGAATGCTGCTTAGTGGATATCTCCTTCATTTTGTAGCTTGAGGTTTGGGCAAAGGAAAGAGAAGCTGCTGGATTACAAGCTAGTGTGAATACATTGATGTCTGAGATACAAAGATTAAATAAATTGTGTGCAGAGAGAAAGGAAGCTGAAGATTCCCTAAGAAAGAAATGGAAAAAGATTGAAGAATTTGATGCTAGGAGATCTGAACTTGAGTCCATCTACAATGCTTTACTTAAAGCTAGCATGGTAGGATTCTATACTATTTCTTGCTCTGCAATGCATATTCTGCACAGCAGAGTCATTTTTTTATTGAGTCTTTTTTTTTTTTTTTGGCTTGGGGACTTTCTGTTGGAAAATGTGGAATATGCTTGTCCAACATTTCTTTCATCTCCTATTGACTAAATTTATACTTTTGATAAGATGAATACACATTTAATAATACAAATTAAGTATTATGAAAAAAAAAAACCAAAAGTATTAAAGAAAATAGACTTTAAAAATTACCCAAAGTTAAGTTGGGTTTACCTTCATAACTAATTGATACAGAGGCTGTACCTTGTAAGGGGCTGGGCATGGTTCATTGACTTGATGCTCACCCTGCGGTCTATTAGGTCATGGGTTCAAGCCCTGGTAACCCCCTCCCCTCCCCAAGAAAAAAAATACTAAGGCCCTTACTGAGTATCTTATTACTTGTAGATTGTAATCATTTCCTTTTTCTTATTTAAATTTTTAAACTGTTATTATAGGATGCTGCATCGTATTGGAGCCAGCAGCCAGTGGTAACGAAGGAGTATGCAGCAAGCACTATTATCCCTTCATGCAATATTGTTGTGGACTTATCAAGCAAAGCAAAGGATCTTATTGAGAAAGAAGTTTCTGCTTTCTATCAAACTCCTGATAATACCCTTTACATGCTTCCATCAACATCCCAGGTCTGTAATTATGGAAGTTAACAGAATTAATGAAAAAAACTTTTATTCTGTACTGCAAGAAAGTTGATAGCTTTTTTCAGAAATATCATATCATATCATACTATCAGCTAGAAAGTTGATAGCTTTTTTAAACTACTGGTACACACACACATATTCATATGCACAGGACATGTTGCAGTTAATATTTGCATAACCCAAACCTCTTTTTTTTCCCTTTTTCATTGTGATCAGGCACTATTGGAGTGTTTTGGTTCCAGTGGATCTACAGGACCAGAAGCTGTGGTTGCTGCTGAAAAGACGGCTGCTGTTTTGACAGCCAAAGCCGGTGCAAGAGATCCATCTGCGATTCCATCTATATGCCGCATTTCTGCTGCACTCCAATCAGCTGCAGGTAAGGTCCTTTCTTGGAAATGTACTTATTTGCTTGTGGTGTTAGTAAGTGTAGCAGCACTCGTCTTCCTCTGGATTTTAGTATTTTACTAACGTTGGTCATAAACACAGACCAGTTCATGACATATGAGATCACAAGATACATGGTGACTTTATAATTAAATTACTATACATACTGCAAGATTCTGTATATCACATGCAATTATCAAATCCACTATCATGGTTTTGATGTCTAATTTCCTCAATGTCTCTTAATAAGCTCCTAATCCCTTTATGTTTCATTACATGCCAAGACTGGTTTACCAAACTTTGGGAAATGATTTTTGTAGTCATCAACCTCATCATCCATAAGGCAATTCTTTTATGCTCTATTTTACTGGTAGGTTCTGATGTCGCTCTAGCATCAGTTTTGGAGTCCATGGAATTTTGCATTAAGCTTCGGGGTTCCGAGGCTTGTATACTGGAAGATTTGGAGAAGTCAATCAATTTGGTCCATGCACGTCGAGATCTCTTTGAGAGTGCCCGTGCATTGTTAGATCATGCTTACCGTGCACAGCATGAATATGACAGGTACTGCATTACTGCAATCTTATTCTCTCTTTAGTTTGTATCATATAGATATAGATGTGTTGAGGGGGGTTGTGAATGCTGTTCAAAGCCATAAATTAGATTTACAATCCAAGCATATTAAATTTTAAGGATCTGTATAGGATTTCATTTCCTACTTTTTATTTACTTATTCGTATAATAGTAATCCATAATAATGTGCTGGCTTTCTGACCTAAGTAAATATGTGCTAGTAATGTAGCTCACAAGACTTATCCCTATTGGTTCTTGAAAATCATTATGAAAAGAAAGTTTTGCAGCATGTCTATCTGCAAGCATTTGTTGATTCCACAACTGTTTTATTGGTTTCGTTGACTATGTCTTGCAGGACAACAAATTACTCTCTAAATCTGGCTGCTGAACAAGAGAAAACTATTACTGAGAAATGGCTACCTGAACTGAGGAATGCAGTTATTAATTCTCAAAAGTTCCTGGAGGACTGCAAATATGTTTGGGGATTGGTAATTAGTTCTTTTCGCTGCAATTTTTTTTTTTCTATATATCATATTACTGTGTTAAATCTTTGGTGGACATAATGATGGAACTGTCGCTTTGAGACTCACTTGAATCGTCCCATAAATTCTATTCAGTACATGAACTGTCGTAATTTGGGCATCGAGTGAAAAAGCACCTATGTCTGGCCAAAAAGTGAATTTGCTTTTTTGCATTGTCTGTGCATTTGAGATACTACTAGCTATATAGTTTATCTACAACTTTTTAAATCCTATATACTCATAAAACGGTTGTACTGTGCCGCAGTTAGATGAATGGTGGGAACAACCAGCATCAACTGTTGTTGACTGGGTAACTGTTGATGGACAAAATGTTGCTGCCTGGAGTAACCATGTGAAACAGCTTCTTACGTTTTATGATAAGGAACTTTTGTAAAGGACCGACAGCCAGCTCGGAGATGTCCTGGAAAATTTATACTGTAACATCTCAATTCTATTCCACTTTCATGATTTGATTGCCATCAAATCTGGAATTGCCCGAGGCTTTAGGTGGAAAACACAACAGTAGCTGAACTTATTTGAATTTTGACTTGAACATGAGGAACTGAGCAGGGCGCGGTGCCCTATCTCTATTCTTCAATGCGGCTCCAAGTGCATTATTTGTCATGCCCCGATTGCCCCCCCATGTATAGATGTTTCTCAATTGGGAATGCTCTTCTGTATAACAGGTAAAAGTTTAGTTCATTTTTAGATTCGGTGCAATTGTATTATCCGAGGCTTGTTAGACCGCCAACATAACTGCTTTCATAGGGCTCCTGTTGGTAGCGAGCTTCATAGTTTATCCTTGGTATATACAGAGTATGTTCATTGGCATTTGTTGTTAACGTCGTAGTTTGCCCCACCTGTCTCGGTGTACTGGTATATGCGGAGGAGTATATACATACATTGTAGTGGTATGTAGTTGAAATGTTGAAGTTGTTGCTGGTTTCTTCATTCAAATGCAGATGTTGCAAAAATAGGCTTGAGTTTGAACTTTCCTTTTATAAATGTAGAAAATCTATTGTGAATTCTCTCAGATAATAGTGGAATTTTTGTTTGTTTGTTTTTTTTTTTTTTTTTGTTAGACCACAAGGTGTCCTAAGCATGCTCTAATTGTAAGTCTTGTATCATACTCAGACTAATTCTTGTTTGCACCAGATCGATCCAATTAAGAGATAAAATATTAGTCAGATTAATTTTTTCATATAAGAGGGGGTTCGAATTTCCAACTTCTTAAAACAAGAGTGCACAATCACTCACACCAATCAAATCAAATTGGTTAAATAGCGAAATTCTTTGGGGTACAGGGAGTGTCATGGTACCAATCTAGATAGTATTGAAATGAGAAACAAGGGAGTGTCACGGTACCAATCTAAATAGTATGGAAACAAGAAATAATAATAGGGGCATAACTAAGTTGATCAGATAATTAGTTTGATAACCATAAAATTTCACATTAATTACAATGAAAGTTTTCTATTAATCTTCTTAAATTTAAACTGAGCAAATATATATAATATAAAAGTAGTTTATTATGCAATCTTCAAGTAACAATTACAAATTTTTCAACAATACAAACATACAAACACTCATTTTTTAAGAATTCTCAAACATTATAGATATCAATATGTAAAATTCCGAGTTCATATTGGTGGCACACAGATAGCTCGTGGATGTACAATCGGCTTTCTGAAATTCTTTAGGGACAGTAAAGCTAAAGGCGTAAAAGTTGATGGATAAGCACACCCATACCATAATAATGCAAACTCTCTCTCTCTCTCTGCCACAACACTTCCATGAATTGTGGTTATTATGAACATCTCGTGAACCCACTAAAACTTGACCTACCCTCTGCTCAACTCTCATTCCTTGCCCCAAAATAGAAGTTAGAAATGACAAAAAACATTAAATGCAAAAGAAACATAATATAGCAATCCAGTAGCTTGAGACAGTTGATAATCGGACTAAACGAAATACGGATATAACTATAAATGGATTGGACATGTTAAAGAGTTTTTAATCATTATACAACACATTGCAAGATGAACCACTAACATGTATGTTCGTTTTTAATGTACTACATGTTCATTTTTAGAACCTTGACCAAATCTGAATTAGCCTCGTAATTGTGAGAAAATGAAATCAGATGTCATACGCTAAAGAAGAATAAATAAAGAAAAGAAACATCCAGAGAAGCCACAATCCACAACACATTCCTACTTTATTACCTTTCTATCACCCCCAACCTTCTTTTTGTTATGTTAGTAGTGATGAAATTAATGTCTGCTGGCCTGTAAATTCACTTGTCTCTGCATGACTGAAATAAATACACATAGTAGCTCACCTTATAAGAGGAAGGGCAATCCATCTTAGGCTATTGTGTGCTTCAAACTGAAAAAAGAAATTGAAAATGAGTTGGGTCAGGATCACATTCCTGCTATGTTTTGTACTAAATGGCTTCACAGAAGCAAGGCGTTACCCACCTGCAGCTGTACTTGTTGGCACTGTATACTGTGACACATGCTTCCACCATGACTTCTCAGAGGCTAGCCATTTCATTTCAGGTTCATCTAGTCTTCAATATTGTGATTATTTATTTGTAAAAATAACATATTTGGTCTGTAAGTTATACCCTAGATATATATTAAGTCCCTCGGTTATTGTGGTGTGTATTTTTGTCCTTGGCTAACGGTTTTGGTCTTTTTCGTTAATATCCAATTAGATTTGGACAGAAATTTGGATGAGTAAACATAAAAACTTGATTTCATATCTTTTCTTTTTCTTATATGTGACTGACATTTCGAGTGTTCGAATGAGCTTATTTGACAAATTTAGAGCTCCTATATAAGACTCTTACTATTATTTACCACCAAGTTGAAACTCGAAATTTGTCAAATAAAATCATTACAACACATTCTGTCTCATACAAGGAGAAGAAGATGAAATTAAAGTTTCATGTTTGATCCCGACATTTATTTATTGATTTTTCGTCCAAATCTAACGGAAAATAACCAAAATCACTACTTCACTTATAGCTGAGGAACCAAAAATAGACACAGAGGGCTGGAGTGTATAGGGACCAAATATACCATTTTCCCTATTTATTTCTTCCTTGCTCTCTAAAAGGGTAATTAACTGTGCTGTAAATTGTTTTCTGCAGGTGCATCTGTTGCAGTAGAATGTGGGCAGTCAAGAAATGGGCCAAGCTTCAGAAAGGAAGTGAAAACAGATGATCATGGAGAGTTCAGGGTGCACTTACCTTTCTCAGTCAGCAAACATGTCAAGAAAATCAAGGGCTGTTCTGTGAAGCTAATCAACAGCAGTGAACCATTCTGTGCTGTGGCTTCTACTGCAACTTCATCTTCCATCCATCTCAAGGAAAGGAAGGAAGGGAAACATATATTTTCTGCTGGGTTTTTCACGTTCAAGCCTCTTAATCAGCCAGAACTCTGCAACCAAAAGCCAAGCATCCATGGGGGTTTCAAGAAAATCAACGGTGCAGACTCTCCGATTACAGATCCTAATAATCCTGCATTTCTGCCTCCCATTCGAGATCCACCACCAGCGGAGACTCCACTCCTTCCGCCGGTTCCTGGAGTGCCACAGCTCCCTGTTCATCTTCCCTTGCCTTCGATTGGGATTGGGATTGGGAATCCATTGAATCCACCGGCGGTGCGCCAAGAGGCAACATTTTCTGAGCATCCAAAGATAAAGTCTAAGTATTTAAATCCTGATGATCCCTCATTTTTCCCGCCAATTCAAGAAGCGCCGCCGGGATTGTTACCTCCGATAATACCAGGAGGTATTATTCCGCCGTTGCCGGAACTCCCTCCACTCTTGCCGACCATTCTGGGACTTCCCTTGTTTCCACCAGAATCTAAAAAGCCAAAAAAACCAAATAAGTTAGCAACAGAATCTCAGGTAACAGATGAAAAGATAGCTCAGCCTAGATTTTTCGCTCCGGTAGGCGGTCTGCCTCCAAACCCCTTGCTGCCTCCGCCATCTGTACTTCCTCCAAATCCCTTACTGCCTCCGCCATCTGTTCTTCCTCCGAATCCCTTCCTGCCCCCACGTTCTCTCCTTCCTCCGAATCCATTATTGCCACCGCCTTCTGTAGTTTCCCCCAACCCTTTACAGCCACCTTCAACTCCTTCACTAACCCCTTCTCCACCTTCTCTTTTCCCTCCACTGTTCCAATCACCACCACCTTCAGCACAGCCACCCATTCCATTGCTGCCATCTCCATCCTTTCCAACTCCTATCCCGCGATTTCCCTTCCAGCCAACACCTCTTTTCCCTGGAGTTCCACCAGCTGCCACTTCTACTAAGAAGAGTTCACCATGATGGCCTCAACTTTTTTTTTCTTGTTCTAGAACTTCCTTTCGAGCTTTTCTGTAATTCTGTTCCCTGTCATGTAATGTTAGCGTGCCTGCACTCAAGAATTGTAGTGATTGTGAAATATATATATCTGTAATGTTCCTGAAATAAATCTGATACTTCTCTGAATCACATTCCAAAGTTGTGTTTGGTTTTGAGCATAGTAGAGATGGATTTAATTTCTATCCCTAACCTAGCAGGAACTTGCTAAAACCTCACAAACAAACGCATTCAAATCAAATGATTGATACAGCTGACACAACAATCATATTCTTTAATAGTTTGTAATTCAAACATGTTTTTATGTAATAAATATAAGGACATTGGCTTGTTAACTAAGCCCTCAATGAGAGCCGCCAAGAAGAAAGCACTTCTGAGTAAGATTACATGATGAAAAGGAATAAGAAAAACCACTAAAATTTCAGTGTGGTTTTTTGGAGTGTCCTCATGGATTCACGAGTTCAAAGCATCATAGTCATCCAACTTCTCATTGTACTCTAAGACCTTTCTTCTTATCTTTGAAGTATCCACCCATGTAATAAAGTCTTCCATATTTCTTGTAACCAGAAATGCTGGATCAGTAATGGTATCTGGTCCAACTCGAATATGCCCCTGTTCTATATATGTCACAGCTTCCTTCAAGTGTTCAGCAAACTTTAGCTTGACCAAGACAGTGGAGAGTCTACGCCTATGAATGATGATAAGAAGATGGTTAAAATGAGAAAGCATTATAACATGACAAAAAATAAATTTGTTATAAGTATCCTAAATACCATCTCCTAGAACACTACCAGAAAATGAAATAACCTTCAGGTGCATCTAACTCAGAGGTAGAAGACCTGTTTCCAAGAGGACATCTAAATATTTACTTACCTACAGAAGGATGAAACTGATAGCTTATCACACAATGCTAAACTTTTCCGTTCTGATATCACACCCATGTTATACCTGTAAAAGCAAAGAGGAGCATATATTAAGAGTTAAGACATTGCATTCAATGACATGAAATATAAAATATAAAGACAGGATAAACAGAAGGTTTGGGCAGAAAAGAAGCCCTTATTACTTATCCTTTTTAAATTTCATTCATCTTCTGAATTTGGTACAAAATTGAATCCCAGTTAAACCACTGGGTTCCTAACTTCATGAGTCATGACTAGAAACAAAAGCCATGCATATGTTAATATATACCATCACACTAAAGTATACTTAAGCCCAAACCCATGGTATGCAGAAAGTATACCCCTTTCTCTCTTTTCTATTCATCTGAAATCTCTGCACTGAATCTTTTATTTATGTTTTTCTTAAGTTTGGCAACACTGTTTGAGCGTAAATGGCATTCTCTTAGGCAAACTAATTATGGGGTGCTAATAAAAAACCAAATGGCAAAGAAAAGCAATTAAGCAGGGAAGCATTAAAAAGCTTACAGCTTTTCGAGAAGGGCATCGGTCATTTCAATACGAAACGGATCTCTTGCGTCCATTTGCTTCAGTATATTCACCAGCTTCTGTGTCATTCTACACAATCCTGAGTACCTAATTTCACCAAAATTAAATCAAACTACGTAATAACACAAATATTTACTCCATATCTAATCTAATATGAACACATATAACTGATTTCGTAGATTAACTTTAAAAAACACATATGGGGAATGAGTTGGGGATTCGGAGGGAATACTTCTTGTAGTCGTCTCTTCCTGTGACGTGGTAGCGATGCATAACAAGAGCTTCTCGGTGGCCATGCTCTCTCTTCCATTCTAGAAAGTTCGCCTTCTTCACCAGCTTCTTCTCATGAAACTTCAGCTTCCTCATCTTTCTACGATTCTAGTTACCTCGGAACTGTATGTAAATCAGCAAAGAATTCACCAACGGAGGATACCAAAAACCTTCCCTTAACCTAAACCCTAGAATTATGGGTTGAAGAAGAAGAATCTATAATATGGAGTGAATTTATATTTGGGCCTAATTTCGGTCCAATATAATTAGGCCCGATTTATAAATTGGACCAAAATTCAAATGCAAGTTATGTACTTACGGAAAGACCCATTCCCTATCTACCTCAAGTGTAAAATCAATTGTTATGCCCACGGTTCCAAGCGCAAATTATGCCGTGGAAACGTGTTCACCATGCTTGGTGAATACGCTTCCAAACGACGTCGTTTTTGGTGTTTTAAAAAAAAAAAAAAAAAAAAAAAAACACTGTTCTATTAACGGCGTTAGGAAGGCAATTCTGATCCGACAACTCTTTGCGTTTGATTCTTTCTTATTCGCAATTCTCTGAAGGCAGTTGTGATCCGACATTCGCGTTTCTTTCCTATTCGCGATGGAGGAGACGACGGTTCGAGGAGAAGATTCCACCGATATGATTTTTGCGATTCCAAGTTGCGTTCGATTTTATGCGTTTGATTTCGTTTGATTTATGAGATCATGAATTGTTGAATGTTTAGTTATTTTTATTGGTATTTGTTCAGTATATATGCAGTTTGAATGTTCATAATGTTGTAATTGTGTATTAGTACCATGTCTCTGTTATGAATTTTACAATATGAGATTATGTATTTTCTGTTACGCAATTATGAATTTTGATACTCTATTCATGCATGTGATATGAATATTCATAATGTAATAGTACTATGTTCATAACATATTAACTGGTATGTTACACTGTTTGCATATACTCAGTGAATGAAGACTTTGTTGGTGATTCAATAAGCAATGAGCAAGCAGACTTAAACATTGACATTGATGGCTCGTCTTCAAGTCCAGGTTCTTTTTATTAGTTTTGTGTATCATGAATGTTGTTTCTGATAGGTGTAGGTACTGATTCATGGTGATTATATGCAAATTGAATGTTGTGATTGGTATTAATACTCTGTTATGAATTTACATTTTGAGGTTATGAATTTTCCGTTATGTTATTATGAATTTTCTATATGAGATTATGAATTTTTTATATGAGATTGTGAATTTTATGTTATGAGTTTATGTGTATCTGTTATTGATGGAGAATATGTTCTTCTTATGTAGAGCATGGCTGGATGTATTCGGCATTCCCCGTACCCCCTCTACGTAAATGAAGAATATATTTCTATCAAATCTGTAATGAACTGCAAATGCATATTTTAGTAGTTGGTATAGGTGTGGTTATATTTTTGTTGCAATTGCAGTTGATGAAGACTTGGTTGGTGTTGTAGTAAGCAATGTTGACGAAGCTTTTGAGTTATATAATGGATATGCATACAGAGTTGGTTTTAGTGTGAGGAAAGGCCAACAACGTTATAAGGCATCTACTAAGTCAATTCAGATGAAGAGGTTCTTCTGTGCTAAGGCTGGGTATAAGCAGAAACCAAACAGTGGTGTTAAGCTTTATTCAAAGATTGATATGAGGACTGGCTGTGGTGCATTTGTTCAGTTTGATGTGGGGGGTGATGGGATGTGGACAGTTACAAAACATTTGAAAGAGCACAATCATGAGTTATGTTCATTTGGCAAGAGTCATCTGCTCCGGTCGCATAGAAGAGTGGGAAACAATCAGCTTGAATATTTAAAAGACATGAAGAATAGTGGTGTTGCATTGGCGGATGGTATGAGGTTTTTGAAACATCAGTCAGGGGGTTCTCCATTGGTTGGCTTTACCAACCGCGATGCTTACAATTCGATGGCTTCTGTGAGTTTGAAGTGTTTGGATGGAACTGATTCCAATTCTTTGATTGAAATATTCAGGAGGAGGCAATCTAATGAGGCTGATTTCTTTTTTGATTTCGAAGTTGATTTGGATGGAAGATTGTGTAGTTTTTTTTTGGAGGGATGGTCAAATGAGAAGGGATTATGAGGTGTTTGGTGATCTGTTAGTGCATGACACAACATATCGCACTAACAAATATGATATGATTTGTGGTCCTTTTGTAGGGATGAACCATCATTGCATGAATGTAATGTTTGGATGTGGTTTTTTTTATGAATGAGATGATAGAGTCATTTGCGTGGTTGTTTAGAGCGTTTTTAAGATCCATGGATGGCAAGTGTCCACAGACTATCATGACGGACCAATGTTCAGCTATGGCTGCTGGCATTTCCATGGTGTTTCCTACATCACGCCACCGTCTTTGCATATGGCATATTGGTGAGAATTCGAAGAAGCATATCAAGGCATTAAGGAATCATAAGGATTTTCTGGATATGTTCAATTGTGTGTTGAAATACACCGAGACTGAAGCGGAGTTTGAAGTTTACTGGACAAGGTATGTTATTATGAATTTACATTATATAATTCTGAATTTTCTGTTATGTCATTATGTATTTTCTGGTATGTCATTATGTATTTTCTGTTATATGATTTATGAATTTTCTAATATGAGATTATGAATTCACAGTTATACAATTCTGGATTTTATGTTATGTCATTATGTATTTTCTGTTATATGATTTATGAACTGTGTAATATGAGATTATGAATGCAAGTATACAATTATGTATTTTCTGTTATGTCATTATGTATTTTCTGTTATATGATTATGAACTTTCTAATATGAGATTATGAATTTTCAGAATATGATTAGTAAACATGTGTTTTAACTTTTTTCAGGATGGTTACAAAATATAATTGTCATAAGAATACATGGCTAGAGAAGCTTTATGACTGTAGGGAGAAGTGGTGTCCAGCGTTCAACAAGGATTATTTCTCCGGGGGTATTTTATCTTCGCAAAGGAGTGAAAGCACAAATCATTCAATTTCTAGGAGGTTGTCCAAGACTGCTGGTTTATGTGATTTTTATTCATCCTTTGTGAGTGTTATTTCTGAATGGAGAAGTAAGGAAAATGGTGAGGATTTCCGGTGTTCTCAAGGAGTACCCGCCATGATGATGGATCATGTGAAACTCCTTTCACATGCTAGAGAGGTTTATACAATTGAGATATATTTTTTGTTCGAGGAACAATTTATGAAAGGTAGCTCTTGTTATCAAGAAATGGTGTTGAATGATGGTTGTAAGTGCAAGTATCACGTGTGGCGACCAGACATAGATATCATAAGGCATGAAGTAACTTTCAAGCCAATCAATTTGGATATATGCTGTAGTTGCAAGCTGTTTTCAGAATTGGGAATACTTTGCTGCCACTGCTTACGTATACTTCATGTGCACTGTGTTTCCAGTATTCCCGATAAATACATTCTAAAAAGATGGACTAAAAAGGTTGTTGAGGGTAGAAATGTGGACATTGCATCCGTGTTTTATAATGGTGGTGTCCCTTCTTCAATTTGGGCTGTTGAGATTAGTAGGAAATTTCAAAGGCTTATTGTTTGTAGCCAAGATAACAGTGTTGCTAGACAATTCTGTGATGAAGCTGTTGAGAATGCAAGGAAAAACATTGAAGCTGAGATTGGGGATGTGAATACTGAGGACGGTACTGTGTCTTCGTCAAGTGGTATTGTCCAAGACCCTTCAAGTCGGAGGAGTAAAGGTGTGAGAAATAAAAGGAGTAGTAGTGTTATTGAGAAGAAGTACAATGCAGCAAGGGGGAGAAAGAGTGCTGCAAACAAGCTTGCTTCAATTACAAAGGGCTCTGTCCAATCATTGGTCTTGGAAAATATTTCAGAGATTGCTCGTGATGGATATCTTGTACATCCAAGCATTGGGGGTTCACAGTTTGTTCATTTTAATAAGAATGTAGACCACGATGTAGCTATAGATTGAGATTGTGTTAATAGAACTTCATATGTTTAGCAGTGTTGTAATGAATACTATGCAAAATACTATGTGTCAGTTTATGAATTTTCATTCATGTGATTATGCATTTTCCTTTGTGTCATTATGGATTTTCCTTTATGTCATTATGAACTTACAGTATGTACTTACGAATCTTATGATATTAGACTGTGAATTATGTGTCAGATTATGAATTTTCCTTTACCAGTTTATGAACTTTCCTTTATGTGATTATGAATTTTCCTCTATGTGATTATGAATTTACAGTATGTACTTATGAATTTTATGCTATTTAGAATTTACGAGAATTATGTCTCAGATTATGAATCTTCCTTTATGTGATTATGAATTTTCCTTTATGTGATTATGAATTTTCCTATATGTGATTATGAATTTACAGTATGTGCTTATGAATTTTATGCTATTTAGATTTTATGAGAATTATGTGTCAGATTATGAATGTTCCTTTATTTGATTATGAATGTTTACTTTATGTGATTATGAATTTTTCTTGTTGTCATTATGAATGTTATTTTAATGTTATGTAATAATGAATTTTCAGTTATAGCTAACACGTATACATTCATAATCGCATAATAGAAAGTTCACAATTGTATAATAGAAAATTCATAATATGGTAGTTGAAAATTCATAAATCTACATGATTCATATGTAATCTGAATTAAGAGTAATAGATTGTATATTCACAGGTGCAAAATATCGGTGCACATTACAAAATGAGAGATTCTCAATCTAGGGTACCAACAGTCAAGATTTCAAAATGAAGTATTAACAAAATTAATGCTTCATGTTCACAACATATTCAAACACCAAAAAGCGGTATAGTTTCATTTCTTCTTTGAGAGATCCTTTGTTGCCTTTATAACTCGCAATCTTTCAGTGTTCCTACCCCATGTGATAATGTTTGACGTGTATTTAGCTCTAAGTTCCCAAAGGAAGTCAGCCTTCAAAAAAAAAAAAGATGTTAAAAAAAAAAAAAAAAAAAAAAAGGAAATCTAAGTTGAAATTAATATATCTTATACTCTTACATTTACACGGGTGCCTATCTTGAATCCACTGTCCCAATCTTGAACATTCCCCTTGTACGACTCCATGTGTCGCATGACATATATGCCACAGTCAATCACATTGTCAAGCTCCTTCCAAGGAATGGCCAAGTGTGATACAGGAAGATTTTGTATCTTACGGAGTAGGGGTGATTTTTCTGCAGTCAAGTATTCTC